AGGGGGTCTAAATACTTTCCGTACCCACTGTATACATCTCCTTTTACATGTAAAGTTGTCTAGATGCTCTTTCATGTTCCACTGAAGGTGTACAGTATTTCTGTTTCTTTAATAAAAAATATTGAATGACTGATATATGTGGCTTCTTCCTCAAAACAACACAATGCATTAAATGTTGTTCTGTTTCTGTTTTAAGACATCATTCACCATTTTAGTTTAGTTTCTTATGAAAATAGTCTAAAGGTACCAATAAATATAATAATTTAAATATTTAAATTAAATATAATAATAGTTTAAAACATTACTTTCTTGAAATTTTAGCCGAAGTAGAATACATACCAATTTTTTATTTTAGATTATATGCCCAACATTATATTGCACCACAAACCAGCTACTTTCAGTTGTTGTACAGCATAGAAATACTTTAGAAATACTTTGGCCCTGTCTGTAATTCTTAGCCTTACATGCTTACATGTTAATAGTGCAAAAATAAGAAAAATTACATAAAATGTGCACAAACATGCATAAACACTCAACTTTGTTACAGCCATACGTTTGCAAACAAAAAGCTAATTCTACAGGTTCATGCTTTTTCAAGTACTAGTTGAAAATACCACAAACCACTATATTATAACATTTTTTATTACATTATAGCTGAAGGGAGACAAATGTACAACAAAAGACAAATTAACAGGATAATTATTGACAAAATGTTGTCTACTCCTCTCCAGAGGAGGGCAGAACAATCGTGCTGGGATCATAAGAATTTTCAGTCATGAGGGGAAGACCCTCGGCTTCCCTCTGTTTGATCAACCTTTCAGCTTCCCGGCGAGACCACTGCCTCATACTGGAGGAGAAAAACATGATAGAGACGGAGATTATGGACATTAGATTAAAGAAAATGGCAAACCATTATTCCTTCAGATTAAATAAAACAACACTTGGAAAATGCACACTTGGAGACCAACGCATCTAAGCAAACCATTAATTAGCCAATTAATGTAGGTCAAGATACAAATATTCACGGTCAAGCAAATTCACCCTCCACATTGCACTATTTAATAGCTAAATGCTTTTTTACAAGCTTCAAAATTTAGATTTGTGTCTTAAAATCAAGATAAACCCTTACACATGTTTTTTGGGGACCTCGTCTTATGCCTAGTTTTTTTTTGACCTTTTGAACAATTTCAGCACAAAGTCCTCAAGAATATTATCATGCTCTTCTTCAAACAGACTGGATAATCGATATAGATATCATCTGTCCTCAGAACTCTTCCCAAATATCTACAGTATAGAATAATACATTCCAAAACTTTTCAGTTGAAGTAATGTGCAAAATATAATTGCATAGTAGTGAAAAGTAGGAGTTTCACAATTGAGTTATACATTTCATGGTTCACTCATGACATATAAAAACATATGTATTAAGGATATTAGATTCTAATTGGTCAATCACTGTATTCTGTGCAAAATGTAGAGCCCTTTCGTTCATGCACATACCCATGATCTGGTAAATAGTGGATGAAAGTCCCTCCAACAACAATGGCCACAGAAATGCCAAAGAAAAACGCCAACCTCATGTTCCATTCATCCACAAAAGAGTCATGATGATGGAAGCCATGGAAATCTGGATTCTGAAAAGATAATGAACATTTGCCATTTATAAACTTAAACAAGTTAACACAAACATCACTGCAGCAACAGAACAGAAACATAGCAGGCACATCTTTGCAATATGCAATACCATGCACCGAGTTTGATCACACAGTGCACAATGTAAACATGTACCTGTCAAAGCACGTCAAACTTCATACAGTTTAGACTGAGATTTTATTGAGCAGCCCCCGCGTGTCAATGAACCCACTGCTAATTACTTTCCGTGCATCATACACATGAGTTTGTGGTTCTCTTACCTTCTCAAACGGGCTGACCTCTGCGTGTCCATGGCTGTCCTGAGCAGCGGGAGACACGGGCTGCAGATCAGACGCCACCGCCGCTCCAGACGCGCTGGAATTCGGCGTCTGCGACACACAGCGGCTCCCGAGCGCCGAGCTCAACCGAACCCGGGACAGGGTGGGCCAGAACCGGCTCAGGCGTGAAGCCATTTCCCCTGATTCTCTGTACTCAGAAGCTGTTTCGAGACAGCTACTCTTCCAGGTTATTTCTGTCCGGGTTAAAATGAGGTTCTAGAAGTTTTCTGCGATCCTTACCGCCACCCGGTGTCGCGGATGTATTATAACCATACAGTCTATGATTATAACCATAGACTGTATAAAAACAGATTATAACGCAGAAACGTTCAGTTGTAGGAACCATTGCCAAACAGCAGGTGCCTCCGTTTCGATTTCTTGCGTTTACAAATCTGAACTGGATCTGTAGAATCATGCATGAAAAATAACAATGGCTTGGCAGTAAACTATTCTTGGAAACGCTTTATAAATATTTCCACATCGTGCATTACAGAATTTCTGTGCAGTATATTTTTTTTCATACCATTACAAAATGTGTGCAATTTTCAATTCACTAATTTTTCTCATTTGACATTTGTCGTCATATCTGTACTCTCTGCACACACATATACACCTCTGCACAGTATATCAGTTCTCTGTACATATACTTTTCATTCTGTAAAAGCTCTTCTTCTGTACTTCTGTTTTTTCTTTGTGTAGCTTGATATTCTGTGAGTACCAGACGTTTATGTAAAAAAAACCCAGTCAAATTTCCTGTGTGCTTAAGCACTCTATCAGGTTCTAAATTTGCATAAAAATGCTTTTAAACGTGTACCTGGGGAATAGCCGATACACTATGATTTTAAGCATAAATGTATCTCTAAGGTACATGTGTGTGCCATCAGATATCTTCATGGGTTTGTTATCTGACTGCAGAAGCAGGAAGTTGTCAAAACCACAGAGCTTCAGCTCTTCAACATGTTCCTCCCTCACAAGAAATCTAGTTTACATGCATGAACACATTCTGACCATCTGAACCTTTTTGAATTCACCACAATAAAACATCCTGAAAAAATGCTTAATATTTATTCAGTGTACATTTAGTCTATATAAGGTGTTGAGTAACTTAGGAGTCAATTAGATATTTAACAACTACAGTACAATACTTTTCAAACAGTGTGAAGTGTACAAAACATTATTATTTAATAACAAGCTATTAACAAACACTGACAATATGAAAAAGTATCCTTTTTTTAATGTCATGAGGTCTTGGCATCTAGCAAAAATAACTTTCCTTCATTCAAATCAGTCTTAACATTGAGGAAGAGAGATTTTATTTTTCTTCTGAGGTTAAGGTATTTCCATATCTCCATTTGTAGACAAACGCCGGTCAGATTCACACCCTCCTCTGCTTTCCATGTTTTCTTTGCTTTCCTCATCCTGCTCATCTGATTTCTGCCTCAAACATAGTCCTGGATCCTTCTGCGAAGGAATGCGAAAGCTGGAAAAAGATCCGCTTCCTGAGGGCCGTTTTTCTAGATGACGACAAAAGCAAAAAAATATAGGGAAGTTAGAGGGAGTGTATTTATTGTGAAATCAGAAAAACAAGGATGAATTATCTTAAAGGAGCTGTCTTAAGGGAATGAGGTTGTGTGCATTTGTTTCTCTGAAACCACAGTGAAAACAGACCTAGATTGCATGCCACTCACAGTCTTTTCATTAACCTCCTACTCAACCTATGCTGAAATGCCAAGTTAATTCAAAGATCTTGATTACATATATAAAGTTTTAGATGAATCTTCTCAATATCAGCCAAATTCAAACCATGAAGCATAAGAGCTGATGAGGTTATAGTCTTGTTAAAGGTAAACAGTGTGAATTAGATTGTGTATTGTGTCTTGAAACTAACCTAACCCTAAGGTAATGTGCATACCTCCTGGTCCAATAGGATGCATTAATCGGTTCATTTGAACATTCCAGTGTTTAACATTGGTGCTGGCCTGACGAAGCTTCCTTTGAGCAGCCTGTCAGAATAAAACAATACAGACTTATGTCATCATCAGCTAATGTCAGCATCAGTACATTAACTGAAAATATTACTAATGAAGGCATTGCAAAAATACACTAATGTTCAGAAGTTTTGGGTTTGGTAAAATTGTTTAAAGGGTTAGTTCACACAAAAATGAAAATTCTGTCATTAATTACTCACCCTCATGTCGTTCCAAACCCATAAAACCTTTGTTCATCTTCGGAACACAAATTAAGATATTTTCGATGGAATCTGAGAGCTCTCTGACCCTCTATAGACAGCAAGGATATTACCACGATCAACGCACAGAAACATAGCAAGGACATCAGTAAAATAATCCATGTGACATCAGGGGTTCATCCGTAATTTTACGAAGGTCTTACGGGTTTGGAACGACACGAGGGTGAGAAATTAATGACAGAATTAAAATTTTTGGGTGAACTATCCCTTTAATATTTTTTAAACAAATCTCTTATGCACACCAAGGCTGCATTTATTTGATCCAAAAAAACAACAACAAAAAAAGTATATATAAAAAATTGCAATTCCTGTAATTACTCCAGTCTTCAGTGATCCTCCAGAAATCATTCTAATATGCTGATTTGGTGCTCAATAAATATTTCTTATTAATATCACAAACAATTGCGCTGCTTAATTTTTTGTGGAAATCGTGATGCATTTTTTTATTTGAATTTAAAAAATGTTAATGTCTTTACTGTCACTTTTGATCAATTTAATGCATACATTTCTGTTGAATAAAAGTATTAATTTCTTTAATAAATACATAAACAAATAAACAAACAAACACTTTAAAATGACAGTGTAGGTCTTTATCAACAAAAGTATGAATTTCTTCAATAAATACAAAAACAAACAAACAAACACTTTAAAATGGTAGTGTACACTTTCATTAATGGTAATGTAGGTCCTGCATTAAAAACAACAACAAAGCCAAAAACCATACAAACTATAATATATAAATCTGAGCTAATCTCTCTGCCCTTGTTTAGATCAAAACACTGTTGCTAAACTCACCACCACATCCTGGTCCACTCGGTGGCGATTGGCTCTGACCTCCTCCAGCTGCATCTGTGCCTCCCCCAGAGCTCGAGACTTACTTTCCATTTCCTGTTTGAGCTCTTGTTTCTCCCGCTGGGCACGCTGGATATATTCCTCCTGCTCCTCACGGAGAGACATAAGGGCCTTCATCTTCTCCTCTTCCTCAGCCAGTAGCCTGTAACAATGAGGCAGTAAGCGATCAAGCACAATGCAGGTTAAAATAGCAATAGTGTGTTTAAATTAGGCATGTTTTATTAGCATAATAATTTGAGAAAAATGTTTATGTGAAAATGAAGTGCTACACTGGATGGATGTGGCACAAATTTGCTTTTTCATTTCATTAGTGACCCAGAAATACTGCAGAATCTTAAATATTTTATCATTAATTTTACATTTGTCACGTAATTTCTTTGTCTAAAATCTTTAAAAAATCGTAACACTTTATATTCAGTGTGGTCTCAGATTAAATGTGCACTCAGCTGTATATTAATATTTAAAGTGTTTTTTGCTTACAATGGCATATTGCATGCATGTATTGTAGAATTAATAGATTTGTAACAGTAGTAAAGTCATATTGTATTTACTGACCTAGAAACAGGTTTTATTTGTATATATTATATATCATTATGTATATATTCATTTCTCTGGACAAATATATTTGTTAAAAGAGCCTCTTCTGTCCATTACTTCCTCTGGTAACTTCCTCTTCATTAATTCCTGCATAACCTCATGCAATTTTACATGGGAGAGCTTTTAAAACATAAAATTTCCTCCCTGAGTAGTACTAAAGTGTTTTAGCACCTTTTTTTGTGAGACACAACCCAGCACGTTTAATAGAAAATGCAAAGAGGGCACCAAACAGTCTGCAGATGTGCCACTGAAAAGCCCTGTTATAACATCAGTGTGTTTGTGTGTGAAACTGAGCATGGGTGCGTTGCTCAACAGTGTTTGTGTGCTGCTGCTCACCGAGCCTGTGCATAGCGGAAGGCCTCTTCGTCCTGCCTGGCTTTGATTTCCTGTTGTAATGCCTCCTCTAGCCGCTGCTGCAAGGCCTCCAGTTCTTTGATTCTTTTTCTCTGTCTCTCAGCCTCAGCCTCCTTCAGTGCCATCTCAGCCTGCATGCTCGCCCGCGCCTGCACACAAGATAGATAGATAGACAGATAGACGAACAAACCATAAATTGACAGACAGTCAGACAGACAGATAGACGAACAAACCATAAATTGACAGACAGACAGACAGACAGATAGATAAACACACCATAAATTGACAGACAGACAGACAGATAGATAGATAGATATATAGACGAACAAACCATAAATTGACAGACAGATAGATAGACGAACAAACCATAAATTGACAGACAGACAGATAGATAGACGAACAAACCATAAATTGACAGACAGACAGACAGATAGATAGATAAACACACCATAAATTGACAGACAGACAGATAGATAGATATATAGACGAACAAACCATAAATGGACAGACAGATAGATAGACGAACAAACCATAAATTGACAGACAGACTCTTCAGCCTCTTTGAGCTGGATCTCCAGGGCCTGCTGGAGTTGTTCATGTTGCTGTCGTCTGCGGACTTCGTCCTGCTCCAGCAGTGCCTGCGCCTGCCTCTGCGCCTCCTTCAGCAGCTCCAGCTCTGCCATCTTCCGCTCGCGCTCCTCCTGCAGAGCCCGTAAGCGCTGCAGCTCCTGCTCCTTTGCCTCCCGCCTCTTCTCTCTCTGTTCTCGCTGCTCACGCCGTTTCAGCTTTAGGTCCTTATGAAGAGAAGTTTTACCCTCCACATGCAGCCGGATGGCTGTTTGGATAGCTGGCAGAAAAAAAAGGAATACTATAAATGCTAAATTTTTGGGGAAAACAAATTGATTGGTGTCAAGGTATTCTAAGATGGTTTTAGCCTTTTGCTATGCAGTTCAGGCCCAAGTCTATAAAAAATAACCATCTTCAAGTCTCTATGATAATTGAGGCTTAAGTTTATGGGATTTTTTTCACCTGTTTTACTATCCACCAGGTGAAAGTTACCTAGGTAAGTTCAAAAGTTTCCCTGTGCAGCTTAATTTTAGAAAGTCTCACAAAACACCCAGCGAGTAAAAAGTCAACCTTCGAAATACCACAGGTTTCCACTAACAAAGGCGTTTCGAAACCACAGTGAAAAGTGATTTTTTTTTTTTTACACAACAATGGTCAATTGTAAATGTAAAGAAAATTGTCCTGATGAACAAGGTGTCTCTTGAAGAAATAGAAACTAGACAGGGAAATAAACATCTTCAAACTCCCTACAATTTACAGAACACCTGACAAAAATGATCAAAAAGCCAAATCATAATGCATGCAGACCTGTAGTCCACTCCTGCCTCTGTTTGGTGTCAGATGCACTGAGTTCATAGGTCTTGGTGAGCGTCTTCAGACAGAACATACACCTCTTCCCATCTCTGTCAGGAAGAACCTTATATACAGAGCAGAGAAACATTTCACACATGGCTCTGTTGATCACAGAAGCAGATGTTCTCTTTGTATTGTGTGTTAATGGACAGCCAATAACTAGCTAAAAATGCTGACAAGGTCTTGTGTCTCACACATTCATGAGGTGGTACTGATACTATGCCACTATAGAATTATACCAGCTTTACTTCTAATAACAACACATGCAAACCACAGACACTTGTACACTTGTACCCTACCTCTACACAGCAGTTTCCATCTAGTTGAATGTTGCCTTTGCGGTCTTTGCGGTCCTCGCTAGTGAAGTAAATTAAAGTGCTGGGTCTCAGGGTGAACCAACGCTCAATCCAGTTTCTCCTCAACTGACCTTTCTTCCACAGATATCCCTGGTGTCAAGAAGAAAGGATTTAAAAAAAATAAAAAATAAATCAAATATACCCACAGACACATAATTGCACAGAGAGTATTTGCTGAAAGTTGTTAGTATTTCAATATGTACATGTGTCACATTATAATGTTGTCATATTTAACAGGATCTTTCTCGTGCCATATGTGTGTTTAGGGTGTCTGTGACATACTACTGATATTTTAAAAGGATACTAAAACTTAATCACATTATTTAATAGATTTATCTTTGTTTAGTGTGTAACGCCAACCGTTATTTTTATATAAAATGTTGTTTTTCATTGAAATGGACAAAAATGATAATTCGAATTGTAATCATAACATTGTTACAAAACAATTTCAAATAAATGCTGTTATTTTTTTAACTCTTCAACTATAATAATAAAAAGAAAAGTTTCTTGAGCAGAAAATCAGCATATTAGTATGATTGCTGAAGGATCATGTGACACTGAAGACACGAACACATTAAAAATTCACCTCTGTCACGTCAGGAATCATTTTCACTTTAATATATATATATAAAAAACTATTTTAAATTGTAATAATATTTCACAATATTATTTTTAACTGTATTTTGGTGAGCAAAGAAAAATACTTATTTTAAAAACGTTAAAAAAAAATCTTAAAGACTCCAAACTTTTGAACAGTAATATACTGTATATAGAATTTGAAATAATAGGTTGGTAATGATAAATGTATATATTTTTTTGTACTTTGCAAAGCTGTAACTACACATATAGGCTTAGGCTTGGGGTCAGGGTTGCCAGGTCTGCGAAACAAACCAGCCCAATTGGTACTCAAAACTAGGCCAATCACAGCCAAAACTAACCCAATCAACTTCTGGGGAGTCAAAACCTCCTTCCAGGAGGTTCCTAATCTAAAAGAACTAAAAGAATAACCCATGGCAACAGCATAAAAGTAGCCAAAGTATGCGGGAAACCCGTGGACTTGGCAACACTGCTTGGGGTAATGGTTTAAGAATCAACCTTACACAAAATCATACGATTTAAAGGACAAATGGCCCAGTTTCCTGAGAATGACATTACAACACAACAGACATTATTATTACATAAATACTAATATAAATAGATAAAGCGAATACCTCTTTCAACACATCACCCACTATTTCCCGGTACACCTCCTCTATCGCCATACTGATGGTTTCTTTGGCAATGCCCCTCGTTAGTCTCCCAGAATTCATCATCTCCAGAAACGCCCATACAATGAAGCCGTTCTGCTGAACAGAATCTTGGGAAATGAAGTCTTCCAGTTCAACACAGTTCAGCTCAACGCTCATAGCCATGCATAACTTCTTCAGTAAATATTCAACCTGTGAAAAAAAAAAAGCAATAATATTTGTTGCACTTGTTTATATTAATACTGCAACTACTATAACTGTTTTATGAAACACCAAAATTTATGTTTGTACTCCATTCTTTCTTTCCCCTCTTCTGTGAAACTGTCACAAGTTACATTTTACCAACAGTTGCAAAACAAGGCACAGGAAATCAATCAAGCTGCAAGACGAGAAACACCACGACGGTGTTGGGAAAACAGACAAATTCAGCAAAGACACATAAAAGATAAAGAGTCAAAAATGACATTATTTTAACCATGTAAATGCAGTTGCCAAAATGATATCTAAAAGTTTAGAATATTGTAAACACTTTGTAAAGGCTTGACTGCAGTAGCTTATCAGCCAAATCAGTGAGAGTATCTTCCCAGTGACAGCTACATCGCCCTTATTTCCTGACAAAAGCTATTTAAAGAAAGCAAAAAACTGCTAGTTTGAAGCACATATGCAAGCGTTGTGCCGTTCACAATGAAAAGCAGAACATGACATAGGCTACTAGCGGATTTAGCCCTATGTTTATATCTGAAACTGAAAAACCTGCAGTTTCAGTTGAAGAGGAAAAATAGAAATAAGCAAAAGGCATATAGCCAATGGTGGTCCTGTGGTTATAGCAGCAGGTTTATGGTGTATGATATGATTTACACTCAAGTTCTCAGCATTCAAAGAGTCAGGAGAGCGATATTCTAGTACAAAACATATTCTAGTTTTAATAGGCGTAATAGAAAGACTCTAAAAGTATTTGTAGATATATTTGACAGTCACACTTAAAATGTGTGAATATCGTTTCATTTCAACAGAATTTAAACTTTTAACTATCTGGTCACATTTTAGTAGATGTGTGACGTCAGTTCTCTCAGGATAATCACACGTGAAGTTCATCATAACGAGATACAATAACGTCTGCCAAGATGACAACCAGAAACTGTCTAAATATTTTTGTCTTCACTTTGAACAATGTATCTGTTGTTTATCATTTGAAACATAGCGAACCTCTTTATCGTTAAGACAGATGGCACTTGGTTTGAAATTTTATCACATAAAATGTATGCATTTTTAAGTGTGGCCTAAGTGTGAAATAATATTTGTAGCCACTATTTAACACTTTCAGAATAATGAAACATCTAGTACTCATAGCAAAACTGTGTACTGATGGGCTTAAGGTTTCTAAAAATGACACACAATGCATGAATCTCACCTCATCAGGGATTATGACCAGAGGATATCTGTCCTCCGAGAGAAATATGAACAGACACCAGAGCCGGAAGGCGTCTTTTCCAGGTAAAACGCACTTTCCCTCTGGTCGATAGTTCTTCTTGGCAGTAAGAGTCCAGCAGAGCTCATCCACATTTTCTTTGACGAACGTGCCTTCCACCACCTAACAGAGAGGAGACAGAAACTGACTAAAGAAGAGATGCAAGAATGTTCATGATAAATGTTAGAACAAAATGATAATGTTGATAAAACAATATTTTTTTTCCCAGTTTGAGTTATACTGGCCAGCAGATATACATGCACAAAAACACATTGTCTTACACAGGATGATCTATAAAGCCTGTGTCTCCAAACAGAATACATACTGTAAGAGAATAAGAGAGGCTGTGTACCTTGTCCAGGATGTATTTGTTGAGGTAGGGCATGTATCCCTGGCTGGACACCGGACCGTCGTCATCGTCTCTGAAGTGTTCCTCGAGAGCCGCTGGGTCGTGTGGGATACACAGAACCGTGTAAAGATTATGAGACAAGACCTGCAGAGCAATAGCACAGATCTTAAACAAACTCACATATACACAAAGTATTACATGAGAATTTATTGATACTTTTATCAAAGGAATTGATTGATTCCGTTACTATTCCATTAAGGAATAGTTCTCCCAAAAATGAAAATTTGCTGAAAATTTAGGCCATCAAAGATGTAGATGAGTATCTTTCTTCAAAGGATCTGATTTGGAGAAACTTAGCATTACATAAATTGCTCACCAATGGATCCTCTGTAGTGAATGGGTGCCGTCAGAAAGAATCAAACAGCTGATAAAAACATTACGACAATCCACAAGTAACCCACATGAGTCCAGTCCATCAATTACTGTCTTGTGACAAGCTGCGTATTTGTAAGAAACAAAATCATCATTAAGATGTTTTAACTATAAACCTGCCAAAATACAAGTCCATAATTCATGATAACGCTTCCTTCAGGGATAAAGTTCTCTTTTGTCCCGATATCAAAATCCACTAAAATATTTGTCTTTGCTTGTAAAGAAGTCGAAGTCGTGGAAGTCGTGGCCTAATGGTTAGAGAGTCGGACTCATAACCCACAGGTTGTGGGTTCGAGTCTCGTACCGGCAGGAATTGTAGGGGGGGGGAGTGAATGTGCAGCGCTCTCTCCCCCTTTCAATACCACGACTGAGGTGCCTTTGAGCAAGGCACCGAACCCCCAACTGCGCCCCGGGCGCCGCAGCATAAATGGCTGCCCACTGCTCCGGGTGTGTGTTCACGGTTTGTGTGTGTTCACTGCTGTGTGTGTGCACTTTGGATGGGTAAATGCAGAGCACTAATTCTGAGTATGGGTCACCATACTTGGCCACATGTCACGTCACTTTTTTCACTTTTAAACAGTGCTTGATTTGCACATATTTATCTCTTGATTAAAACAAGACAACTTCTTTTTACTAGAGAAAACAAATAAAGGACTAATTTTAGCTGGGAGCAATGGTTTACTAATGAATTTGTTTCTTACAAACACAGTTTTTCAATTCAAAAGATGCTAATTGATGGACTGGAGTCATGTGGATTTTTTTTTAATCAGATGTTTGAACTCTCATTCTGACGGCACCCATTCACTGCAGAGAATCCATTGGTGAGCTACTGATGTAATGCTACATGTCTCCAACTATGAAGAAACAAACTCATCTACATTTCAGAGGGTGAGTACATTTTCCACAAATTTTCATTTTTGGCTGAACTAGGTGCAAGTTTTCCACCATTTTGCAGTTCAGAATAGGCCTGAAATGAGATTTTCAGAAGCATAAATATTTCATGCATCATCATTACAACCTCGAAAGGAAGCAGGCCACAGGTAGAGGTCTGCTCTATTTATACACACTCATTTGAGCATTCTCTGCTCACACAGAGGTTTGATTTAACCCACAATCATGGGATCAAAAGTCATATTTAATTACTTAAAAATATTTAAAATAACACCAGGCAAGATTTTGAAAGAAATTATTTGCTGATAGACTCACAACAACAGCAACAGCAGGGCTACATTGCATTACTTCTCTAACTTTGCTCAGGAACTTCTCTAAATGATTCTTTGAAAACGACAGAACTGACGTTGTGGACTAGTAATGAGTAGATCAAACCATAATGTTACAAAGTACAAAGAGTGTGATCTCACTACACACATCCGGTGACCACCGTTCTCAAAGCTTAAGATTCAAAGTTGAACAGTTTGAGCCCATTTATAGCTTCAGACCCAAAATGCCCAAGAGTCAGAGATGCTCTGTTACAGCTGGTCAGCTTGAGATATGGACTGGACAAAACCTAATCATGGGACTGCTGTCTCATGTATATGGTATAAGATCAGACATAACCTTTATAAATGCAGAAAAAATGAAAGAGAGGCAAAAAAGAAAGGAAAATAAGAATTCCCATTAAAATAATGTGACTATGAATGAACAGGTCTCTTCAGTCTTATAAATGGACAATTGTAAAAGAAAACCTGTGACTCAGATATTCAGTAAGTTTACTATAGACCATGAGGCATAACACACAGGAAACACATCACAAGCAGTTAAAGCAAGTGCATGGCATCTTTTAAGCATAACATAGAAAGGAAAAAAAAAAAACTTATGCATGAGTTGATTACTGATCCTTCTTTCTGTCCTTCAGATCAAGGAATATGTTAGAGCATTTTAACACCTTGAGATCTGAGAGCCGTACGGGACCCCAATTTTCAGCCTCCAACATCCGAAAGTTTTATCATAGAGCATTAATGGATTTGCAGCTCACCTTGAGTTGAGACTTGGACACCTTTCCACTCTTCTCCACATCTAGAGCAGTGAAAGCGTACCAAATGGACTTGAGCAGTTCTGAGCGCAAGTCCATGACTGCAGCAGTTTTTCTCCGCTTTCTCTTTCTCTCGCTCTGTAGTTCAAGGCCACCCACACCCACAACAAAAGTGGGCATCCTCCAACAGGCAAATCACACCCCCTGCTGGGCCAAAACTCAATCAAAAAGCAATCAAGTTCATCGCGTTTTGATTTGAACTCAAAATACAAGGCATCAAAGCAAAAATGGGTATATATGGCTCATAAGTTCTGAGATCAATGAAGTGTTATCTCACACAGAAATTATTACTCTTGCTGGGGCCAAGTCATGTTAAACTTGACATTTTGGAACAAACCAAAGTGGTCTGTAAGAGCCAAATCCCCTTTTTAAGTCCATATACAGCCTGGGTCCATTTATAAGCTATGAAAGAGGAAGCACCTATTTGGCTTTGTGAAGTAACTAACTCTTTTAAAAAACAATTATATATATATATAGTATGTATGTTGTGTATATATATATATATAGTGTTAAACCGCTGTATGGTCTTGTCCACTGTACTGCAGCTCAGTTTCAGGGTCTTGGCAATCTTCCTATAGCCTACGCCATATTTATGTAGAGCAACAATTCTTTTGTTCAGATTCTCAGAGAGTTCTTTGCCATGAGGTGCCATGTTGAACTTCAAGTGACCAGTATGAGAGAGTGAGAGTGATAACACCAAATTTAACACACCTGCTCCCCATTCACACCTGAGACCTTGTAACACTAATGAGTCACATGACACCGGGGAGAGAAAATGGCTAATTGGGCCCAATTTGGACATTTTCACTTAGGGGTGTACTCACTTTTGTGGCCAGCGGTTTAGACATTAATGGCTGTGTGTTGAGTTATTTTGAGGGG